GCAGTCTGGAACAGATTCCTTCCATATGTTTGCACCAGGTTAATCTTGGCCGTCCCCTGTGCCTTTTGCCGGTCGGATTTGCAAGAAACAGTTGCTTAGCCTTCCTCAAAACTTAACTTTTTTGATAAATTTGAAAAATATTATCGTACGCTTATAGTTCGAGGCATGACTTCAACTAGATTTCACTTGTTTAGAACACCGGAGGAACGCAAACCCAATATTCTACATTGAAGAAATATTTGGCCTCTTTTCTACTGTTCACTGTTTGTATCAGGTGATCAATCAACGTTCAACAACAAATGGTTAATTCCTAGTCATTTCGCGTTTTTCTTTTTTTGCGCGTACGGAGATGCAATGTGGTGTATGTCGAATTTCAACATTAAAGGCACGCGCATTGATTTTGCATTTTCACTCAGTAACCTTCCTACTAAGGTATTGCGGTAGAATTTCCTCCAAACACATGGCTGCAAACTGAAATAAATAGGTCGGATTTGAGGCTTGCCGTTCCATGCATGAATATTCAATACATTGGTATATTAATAAAAAATCACGCGATCTCTGTAACGGGATCGATGTTTGGGCCAGTCGCGCGGCGGCAACGTAAATATCAGTCAAATAGAGTCACTGGAGTAAACATTGGGCCAAGTATACTTTGCGTGGCTTTGAATTGTATGCCAGTTTTTGAGCAGAGTTCATCTGATTATTCACTTGAATTCAAAGGATGGATACTCTCCGCTTCATCTTGCCGTGCAAGCTGGTAAACCGGACGTTGTCGAGTTTTTGTTAGGATCTGGAGCTGACGTACATCTGGTCGGCAACAGTGGTGAAACCCCACTACATATTGCTGCGGGCATGGATGACAGAAACGCTCGGCTGTGTGCAGACATGCTACTGAAGAGCGGCGTGCATGTCAACGCGGCGTTGGAGGTGAGGAGCAGTCTCGTTTACTACAAATCTGCCCTGAGTGACTTTGAACTTTAGAATGGAGAAACCGCGCTGCACTTAGCTACAAGGAAAGGAAATATCCACATGGTTCAGTTACTGCTAGAAGAGGAGGCTGATCCATTACTGAACTCGAAGGTTTCGTTAACTTGGCATCATTTTATGGAGATGTTAAGAAGTCTAGTTTCAGAACGGAAAATCTGCCCTTCATATTGCTGCCGAATGCTGTTTTTATGAGGTAGCAAAGATGCTGGTAGACTACATCGAAAACTCCAGGGGACGCGAGTCAGCTGTCAGGCTCGTAAAAATGCAAACCATGGTACTGGCAAGTTCCAGGTTCAGCAACCCTTCTCCCAAAAATAGTTTATCTTCTGTCTCTAGGACGGCTATTCTGCGCTGCATTATATTGCCGAAAGTACAGCTGATGAGTTTCATCGACATGGAGAAGATGTATCGCTCACTAACCTGCTATTGGAATATGAATCAGATATATCGGTTACTACTTTCACAGTAATTGCTGAATAATCGCAAGAGCTAAAGTAACTAATCCTTTATAGACTCTGGAAACTGTTTTACATTCTTGTGCAAAGTCGGGGAATTTCAATATTCTAGGCTGCATTGTAAGTAAAGTCGGTCGTGGCGGTCTTCAGGTAGCACTTAACCGGCAAGATAGAGTACGACGTTAATTGCTGGAATGTAATTTATCCAAAGTACCATGCTCAGAATGGTTGGCCACCCCTGTCCGTCGCATGTTATTATGGTCATGAAAAAGTGGTTGAAGCACTGCTGAAATACAATGCGAGGATTGATGTTTTCGACGAGGTAAGAGAATTTCTTACTTTCAGAAAAACAGTGAGAAACGGAAAATTCGGTCATTCAAGACACCACTTTCAGAAACTAAAATGTTTTCATCATGGTTTAGGGTGTACAGAAAGGCTGATGGACTGATTGGCAGTTAAGTAAAACAGCTCTTTCCAGTAAATTCTAAAATGATTATATTTTTGCCCATCATTAAGAAATCCCTGAAATTACGAAATCTAAATTAATAAGGGCAACAACAAAAGTAACAGTTTGAACGATTGAATGTAGTTCGCTGCGGCATAATATCTCCAGCCATTGCTCTGGTAGTGAAAACCTATCGTAATCCTCAAAACAGTCTATGAAAGAGTCAGTGGCAGGAACCTGTGGTTGGCATATCTCATAATGCCTTTCAGACAAAATTATTCAGAAAAAAAGTAACCCAGTCGTTGACTGAGGGACAGGTCTGAATTTATTCCCAAAAGGAAATGACGAATGCACCGTTCTATTTACCCGTTGACGCTACTGGGAGAGATGAATGATAATTGATTCCATATATCAGCCAGATATTTATGAATGATTTATTTAAATGCTCATCTATCAGTAAAGAAGAAAGTGTCTGATGCAACCTTTATATCTATGGGTTATTAGCAGGCTTAAACTTCATTCCTGCCTTTTCTTCAATCTTGGGACCTGGTGCTACTTCTAATTTTTATCATGGGGGCATCTTCATTTGGTTGAGGCGTACATTTCATCTAAAGTTGTTAAAACCCTAACTTTACTGGCATGCATTTCAGAATAGTTAACGTATCGTAACAGCTGTTCCATAGCACTGAGGCTTAATCGAAAGTTGATATGAGGTTCATAATTCGGTAAATCCTTTACAGGGCTACACCGCATATAAAGTTGATTACATGCAAGTTCTAATAACTTAACTTAATGATATGAAATGTAGTATTTATTAAAATTTTTGCATATACCTGACCTATTATCTGGCAGATTCCTACTTTAAAACTGTTTCAGTTTGGTAGAACTCCTCTACACTTAGCTGCAGAACGTGGTCACGTAATACTATGCGATATTCTAATTCGTCATCGAGCGTTCATTAATAGCAAGACAAAGCTAGGCTATACACCTCTGCATTTCGCCGCAAAATTTGGTCACCCGAAGTTATTTAATCTGTTGGTGCAGCAACATATGGCACCCACGGACGTAATGACTATGGTAGGTAGTTTGACAATTGTTGATTTCTAGCAACATATTGATTAAAGGAAAATCAAACCCCACTACACATAGCTGCCAAATATGGCCAAATATCATTCTGCCAAGCACTGCTCAACTCACGCGCCAATACGGCAGTGAGAGACATTCGAGGACGAACGCCTTTGCACCTGGCTGCTGAAAACGACCATCCAGAAATTGTGCAACTTTTCCTCACAAAATCGTCGAATGAGGGAACCCTTGACATTACGGTAAGGACGCTGGTGAAATATAATCATGAATAAATATCCTCTTAGGACGAAAACGGACTTACCTGCGCCCACATAGCTGCTCTAAAGGGCAGTCTAGCCGTAATCAAAGGGCTGATGACTATCGATCGAAATATGGTAGTGAATGCGAAAACGAAGGTAGTGCGTTTTCCTTGATAAATCTGCACCTCATTTTCAATTATTCAGGACACCAACTCAACAGCATTGCACATGGCCGTTGCAGGAGGTCACACGGAAATTGTACGAGTTTTGCTTGAAGGAGGTGCATCACCACTCGAAGAAAATTCAGTAAAAGAGTAGAATTCAAGATGCCAAATTTTAAACTAATCTTCAGCGAGGTATGGCAGCACTTCACTTGGCTGCAGAACATGGACACGTTGATATTTTGAACGTCATAGACAAAATCTATTGGAAAATTTGCAGCAAGAAGGTAGGCTAATTCACTATGTGAAAATGATTAATATTCTATGGCTAGGAACGTTAAAATCGATTCGACAACATTTCTGTTCGTTTGGAGAAACTTTTATGCTGCTGAAAGCACGAAAACAGAACTTTTCCTTATTAAACATATAAGATAGTACTAAATAACAAATCAAATAAAAACTACTTTTAAATCAGATATAAAAGGTTAGATGTATAACGTGTCTCGTTTGTTTGTCACCATTTTAAAATATAAACATTATTGATGCTTAAATTTAAAATTGGAAAACTGTTTGTAAGCAGTCAAACTTTTCGTTTTCACACGGAAAGCTAGACGAACTATTTAAATTCTCTAGTGAAGTGGCGTCATTAGAAATTTCCATGGACCAATAAATTTTCATAAAATATTTTCCCTTGAAAATCTTTCGGTAGCATTTTTTTACTGTTTCAGACCGGACTTAATGCTCTGCATGTGGCTGCCTATTATGGACAGAAAGAATTCGTCAGAAACATTTTGGTGAATGTTTCAGCAACTTGTAAATCTGAACCTCCTGGCGAATCTAATCCGCTGATTGTGAAAGAAATGGCTTCAGAGGTAAAACTTTATATCTCATTTCATTTCTTTAAAATATTACGTGGTTCGGTAATTGTCAGCAAGTGGGAAATAGACACCAATTAATAAAGTACGAGTAGCAGCAAATTAGCATTAATCCATTTTGAGAGATGGAACACAGTTATAATATTATGCGAAGATGTGATCACGGCAAAAATAACACTGAAATAAGTACACGAATAGGTCTGGTGGGTGAGGACAGTCTGGTCTGTGGCGATGAAAAAACTATGCAGTATTGCGAAGTTATCTGCCTTTGAGTATGTCTGCGCACTTACCTTTATCTATGATTGTGGATGTTAAATATTGGAAGGAAAGATGCATTTCAGAATTCAAGCAGCAAAAATGAAATTCCTTCTATTTTTCTCCTAATCGAACGATCGCAATTTAGACTGTTTGAGCACGTGGCCTACGTGCCACAGGAGAAATATAAACTTTCTTGGCAAAATCATATAGAAAATGAGCCAGGAGTAGACCAACGATCAGATGGCTCAATTACATTGAGCAGGTGGCACCACCGCGACTCAGAATACAGTCCAATGAGCGCACGGAGAAGTATCTAAACGGAGATCAATTGAAAAATGTCTTGAGGCTGTTGATCCCACGCCTTGCAAGGAATAGTAGGCTTTGAAAATTATTAAACGAGCCACACGATCAATGGATGAACGAATGAATATGTTCAAGCATAGCAGCGCCATATTTAGTGTAATGCGTTGGTATTATTGAATAAAATAACCAGTAATAAACTAAAAAACTTAAACTTATCGATCAGTTATTAGTAAAATAAAAAATGATAAATCAAAAAACAAATACGTAATAAACTTTGTCAAGGCAAATAAGTGAAATAAAGTCACGCCGCGACAAAGTTAAGAGGCATGCCTGCAACATCCGCATTGCACATAGTCAAGGATCAAATTATGATTGAAATCTTTTACTATTAGTGGTGCATACTGTTTGCAAAAATTCTTCATTCCACTTCTTTACGTGGAGGGAATGCCACCAACGCAAATCGACGCTTCGCTACTGTTGTCTATTCTTGAGCAGTTCTTCTTTAAGGGTTGGTTGCTTAGCAGCCATTTAAAAGTGCTAATCCTTGCGAGCCATTGCTGATGTCACCCAGCCATATTCACATACTGCGGATTCAGATCATTAAAGCAGGTTGTGAGCTTCGGCGAAGGACATATATCGTTGACGAGTGGCAGGCAAGTGCATCTTAGTCCACCGCAGCTATCTCGGGCCTGCAATATGGCAGAAGATTTAAATCTGAAAAAGCTAAATTTATCCAAATATTGAAAAATTTTACTATGCTACGGTGTTCATTCTGAAAATTGAAGAATGTATGATAACAGTTGATCTATACAAGAAAAACAGCCAAGTTGGTCAACTGGGTGATTAACCAGTACTGACGCTTCGGCCCGATTCTCAAGAGCTTTCTTCGAGGTTGTCTGGGTTGACGCATTCAGTCGGTTGTGTGATTCGCAGCTGTTGTAACGTCTGGAGTAAAAGGAGTGCTTTTGGCCTATGCTGCCTGTTAAGTATTTTTTCGGCCACGGCCTTAATGAAGCATGATTAATCCGCGCAGAGTTCTTGTCCTTTGTTCCAGTTGCCATATTCGCAGGAATAGATAGTTAAGGCCTCTTTGATTCGTCTGCTCAGTCAGTTTTTTTCTTTAACGATGCCTGCGCAATGTAACCATTGAGTGACGTGGCATTTCTCTGCTGCGTGCCGCACTATTCCCGAGTCCTATTCACATTGTTCTTTGACTGTATGAGGAAAGAGGGCTACTTCCTGAATGCTTTTCTGTTGCCCCATGTCTTTCGCGTTGGTATACGGTCATCCATCTTTTCCAGTATGAGAAATGGTCCTTTGTTCGTTGGGTGACAGTGTTTCCGGTTTTTCTGGTATGTAATATTTCTCGCAGTCGCAAAACAGTTCGTAAATCCAATCTAAAGAGTTGTTGTTTTCAGAGTTAGTCAGCAGAGTATTAAGTTTACTGGAGCTTATAAATATAACATTATATTGTATTATTCCAGAAGTACACTAAAACGTAGAATCAGATATTTTAAATCTACCTGTAATACCGATAATTCAAGAAGTAACATTTTGAATAATAAACTTTCCTTAATTCTACTATATCATAAAAATCTTAATGAAAAATTACAAAGACTATTTAACGCTAAATACAGTATTAATGTCACAAATGAAAGCTACCAACGCGGCAGCTCGTGCTCTTGGCCCCGTTGTTCCTCCTTGTGCAACGTAATTTTGGCGAGTTTCG